TTGTAATCTTTCTCTTTTAGCCTTCCAGAGTGCTGGGATTCCAGGCATGCTGCCATGCTTAGCTTGGGACAATTTTTATTTTTATTTGTTTATTTATTGATTTACTTGGTACAGGGTCTTGCTATGCAGCTCGGACTCCTAGTGATCCCCCTGTCTCAGCCTCCCCAGCGCTGGGATCACAGGCGTGCGCCACCATGCCCAGTTATGGGGCTGGCACAGTTTGCCCAGGCCTCTGGGGCTGGCACCGCCTGCGTGTGGTATAGGGGACTGACCTTGGGCCCTTGTGCTTGCCAGGCATGCGCTTCGACTGCTCAGCTATCTTCCCAGCCGACTAAAAATTTTAAATAAAGAAATGGAAAGTGATAGCTACTGGATTCAAAGGGGTAATAATGAAAGTTTTAAAAAGTAGATAGTGGAGACGGTTGCACAACTCTGTAAATATACTAAAAGCTGCTGGGTGTGGTAGTGATACCTGCAAGCCCAGCACTCCGGAGCCTGCGGTGGGAGGATCGCTGAAGTGAGGCCAGCCGGGGCTACACAGTGAGTTCAAGGACCATCTGGACCACACAGCAAGGCCCTGTCTAAAAAAAACAAAACAAAAAACTAAAAACTTCTGGATTCTGTACTTTAAAAAGGATGTGTTGGGCCAGGGAGGTGGCTCAGTGGAATAAGTGCTTCCCTGGCAAGCGCAAGGGCCTGAGTTCGATCCCCAGTTCCGCCCCAAAAAAAAAAAAAAAAAAAAGAGTAAAAAGGATGTGTTTTATAGAATATGAATTATATCGATAAAGCTGGCATTGTAGATGTCTACGGTTTTAGATCCACATCTACAATAGGAATCTTACCATAGGGTCCATCCTAGCTCCAGAGATTAAATCACCATATTTGTCAGAGGAGAAAAAAGTAGAAATAAAGTAAAAAGTCAAGATATCCAAAAGGAAGAGACAAGTATCAAAGCTAGACTACGAAGACTTAACACACAGAGAACAGCAGCCACTCAAGAAGAAGCACAAAGAAAGGAAACAAACAAGCAAACAAAATCTAGAAGTACAATTTCAGTTGCTTGAAATTATTTTAAAAATTGTAATTATGGGAGCTGGGGAGATAGCTCGGCAGCATAAGTGCCTGCCTGGTAAGTGCAAGGTCTCAAGTTCGATCCCCGGTACTGCGTGCTGTTCCAGCTCAGATCCCCAGGTGCGCTGTGCTGGCCCCCAAACCGGGTGTGGTGGTGCACACCTGTCATCCCAGCGCTGGGGAGGCTGAGACAGGAGGATCCCTATGAGTCCAAGCTGCATAGCAAGACCCTGTACCAAAGAAATAATTTTTTTTTTATAGTGGGCAGACTCACAACCAGCTGGAAAGTGAGACAGATGGGGGCTTAAGGGAAGCCGCATCGATGTAAGACTCTGTGTACTGACGGTGTAAGCACAGTGCCGTTTTCTTTTTCTTTGTCTCTTTCTCTGTGTTTCTTTCCACCCCTGTTTTGCCAGTGGGATGGAGCCTGGGTTTCCTCAAGCCTGGACACCCAGAGAGCAGAGGAGCTGCTCCAGGAGCGTGCAGCCAGCGCGGTCCACCTGCCCGGGGCTTGAGCAGATAAAGAAAGCAGCTACGGCTTGTGTCTCAACATCCCCCATCCGCACTTTAAAAGGCTGACATGTGGGCATTTGGGGAGAAGCTGGATGTAGGGTGTGTGACATGGGATTAGGGGTGCCCTAGCCTGGGTGTGTGTGCATGACACCAATCACAGGCTTACAGCTTGATAAGAACTCTGCATGAAGGGCCAGTGCGATAGCACAGCGGACTAAGCGCTTACTTAGGCAAGTGCAGGCACCGGGGTTTGATCCCCCTGCACCACAGGCAGTGCCAGCCCTGCCCCCAGGGGCACTGAGCTTGCCACCAAAACTGGACATGGCGGCACACGCATGCCTGTATTCCCAGCACTGGGGAGGCTCAAAACAGGAAGATCACTACAAGTCTGAGTTGTGTGGTGAGACCTTGTACAAAACACACACATACACACACACACACACACACACACACACACAGAACACTAAATGAAGGCAGCTTCTACTGCTTTGCAGGCTGCTGCTGCTGTGGCTCTTGCATGCCACACCATGGACTATTTCTCCCCGCGATGCCTGTCTGCTATAGCCAGCTGCCTTGGAGCCAGCTGATTATGGGCTGAAACCTACAATAGAGAGTCCCATTCCCCCCAAAAAAACCCCAGAAAAACAGTGAGCCAAATAAACCTCTCTTCCTTTAATTCTGGACATTTTGGCTCAGCAAAGAGAAAAGTAACTAAGATAGAAGGAAAAGAAAAAGATGGAGAGAGAGAGAGAGAGAGAGAAAGAGAAAGAGAGGGAGAGAGAGAGAGAGAGCGCAGGAGGTTACAAGAAACCCAGAGACATGATTTCTTTTTAAAAGGGCGAGGACACAGTATCATGTCCCAGGCTGTAAACTTGGATGCCAAGCTGTGAAGGAACACAGGAAGTGTCAATGCAGACCACCGGCCACTTTTCAGGGGTGTGGATGTGATTCTGATGGGACCCCACAGAGGGGCTTTCTGGGGACAAGTTCTAGGCCTAGGAAGAGACTTCATGGCTGGTTAGCCTTATCATGAGTCCTTAGCTCACTAAGGTTGTCTGGGTGTTTAATTTACAATTTAAAAATAGAGCCAAGCATCCTCATGTATACCTATAATCCCAGAACTTTGGGAAGCTGATGCAGGAGAATTACAAATTTGAGCCCATCCTGGAAAACTTAGTGACTTAGCAAGATCTTGTCTCAAAACAAAAATATAAAAGCCTGGCGTGGTGGTGCACACCTGAAATCTCAGTACTCGGGAGGCAGAGGCAGGAGGATCATCTTGTGCTTGAGGCCGGCCTGGACTACACAGCAAGACCCTGTCTCAAAAATAAAATAAAATATAAAACAAGCGCTGGGAATGCAGCTCAGGGTGAAGAGGATGGGATCCATCCTGAGTTCTGACAAAATAAAATCACATCTCCAAGCACAAACCATTCTTTTTTTTTTTTTTTTTTTTTTTTTTCTTGCAGTACCAAAGATTGAACTCAGGCCCCTGCACTTGCCAGGCAGGCACTTACGCCACAGAGCTATCGCCCCAGCCCCCAACACAAACCCTTCTTATCCCTGATCTCCTCCTCCACAGCCTATTTTGCTTGTTTTTTTATTTTTTATTTATTTTTGTTTTTGTATTTTAGGAAAGGGTCTACAGGGTGCTCAGGGTCTCACTACTTGATCGGACTCCTAGTGATCCGCCTGTTTACAGCCTCCCAGGAGCTGGTGTGCGCCACTGTGCCCAGTCTTCCATAGCCTATTTTGAATCTACCACGTGATCAGTACACAGTCACTCACTTCCCATAGGTTTTGTCCGGACCGCTCTGCAGAGAGCAGGAGTTCTGCATGCTGTGTCCCCAGTTCCCATGGCAGACAGCATCTGGCACACACCAGGACACCATTATGGAATGAAGGAGCCAGAGAGGAGGAGGCGCCCCTGGCACCTTCTACCTGGTACAGCGCTGGCGGGGGGCCCTGCCTGGTTGTCACGGCCAAGATGCTGGTGCCCGGACAGGACAGCTCTCCTTACAGAGTGGGCCTGGGTGACACTTGTCCCTGCACAGCCCGGGTGTGCCACAAGTGACATGGAGCGCCACTGAACACAAGGACAGGACAGGTAGCCACAGCCTCTGTGACCAGCACAGCAGGGCTCTGGGCCACACTCCGGAGTCCCTGCAGAGCCTGTGAGTCTATGTGCAAGTTCCTGTGCCCGTTTTCCCCACGCCAAACTAGTCAGTATTTACAGTATCCCCCAAAGCATTCTAACTTGGTGGGTCAGAGACCCCCACAGTCGTTTGAAATTTGCTGCAGAACCTCTCCTCACCCAGCTTGGGACCTGGCTCCCTCTGCCCCTGCTCCCCCGGCCAGGAAGCCTTCTCTCCTTCTCCAGCCAGCACTGCTCTCTTTCTCAACTCTTTCTTTTTCCACACAGTGAATCCCTGCCCCGGGCCAGGCCCCTCCAGAGCAACAGAGACCACCAGCGCTCAGCCCCACAGAGCTCCCAGCGGGCAGGGAGGGACTGAGCCCGGCAGGGAGGGACTGATCCCAGCAGGTCAGTCTCCTTCTGGTTATCCTCAGAGGGTCCTGGGGCTCAGGTGCCCAGGCAAACGTTCATCCCTAGCAATTCACCCCATCCTCTCTAGAACCGCAAGGGCAGTTTGATTATCTGCGAACTATGGCTCAGAGTCCAGTGTCACCAAGGGACACCTGGCAGAGTTGGGCTTTGAAGCCAGGTGCTCTGGCTATAAGCCCTTTCTTAATGCTGTGCCTTAGAACAGGTAGAAGAAGCTGCTGGAGCTGGGGTGGGGGTGGTGACTGCACCTGCAGGGGTGGGGTCAGGGGAGGTGTTGTGGGGGAGGGGCCATGGGGGAGGGGCCGTGGGGGAGGGGCCAGGGGTCTCAGAGGGCCGCAGAGCCCAGGAACTGCATAGGCAGAGGCCATCTTGGCTCTACTGGGGGTGCAGAGGGGGACTGCAGGGCTGGCTCCCTGCAAGGAGCAGCCTGTGGTTAGTTTTGTGGGCAATGGCAGTGGAGAGTGACCGGGTGGCTGCTCCTGGGAGGCAGGCTGGCTGGGGTGACTACTTGATGCCTCTCTCTGGGGCAATGGGCCTTTTCCTTCTAGCTCCCTCGCTCACTTGGTAATCATGGGCAGTGATGGGGTCTCTGAGACTCAGTTTCCTCCTCTGTAAATGGGGCAGGAAAGCCTGCAGACTTCGAGGCTCGCTGGTGGCCGACCAGCTGCTGCAGGGAAGGAGCCTTGCACAGTGTGGCCCTGGCAGGCGCTGGAAGGGTGGCTGCTGCCCTGTACTCAGGGGGCCCGGTGGGGTGAGGAGTCTGCCCTGGAAGGGACTCTGAGAGCTGAGCCCTTGATCTCAGAATGCAGCCCGCTGGCCCGAATGACCCTGGTCCCTGGGGACAGCCACTTACCACCACCTCCAGGTCTGAGTTCAGGTGCCGCTGGGTGTCCGACATCTGCACCAAGATCTCACCTACAGGCAGAGGGAGAAGCAGCTTTGGTGTGGGGAGGCCGCCCTGCCACCCCTCTCCCCCAGAAGGCAGCCTTGAGGCTAGATGTCAGGACCAAGTCCAGGAATTTCCTCTCTGGCTTTGGGGATCCCCAGGATTATCAGCCTGGGCCCAGCCCTGTGGGGAGTGGTGGAGAGGAGCCTGGCTCCAGACCTGGGTGGGGACAAGGCATGGATGGGAGGATGAGTGGGCCAAAGGAACCCTCTCTAGGCCCCTAGAGTGGGCAAAGGCAGAACCCAGGCCTGGGAGCAGAGGCCTGGTGGGAGGCCAGCTGGGAGGGCTGGCCCCTATCCTACCAGAGAGAGGGGTCCAGTGGAGGGGGGGTGCCTCACCCAGAATCTGAGAGGTGGAACTCTGCAGGGCCTGCTCCCCAATTTTCTGAATGGCACTGAAGTATACCTCGGCCGCCTCAGACAGAGCTGCAGGAGAGGAAGGACAGTCCAGCCTCGGCCCCCCCACACCCATCCCCATCCTCTGCCAGGCCCTACTTTGCGCAGTGTGCACAGGGCCTGCAGCACGTGTGCGACAGGGAGGGTGCCTGGCTGTGCTGCACATCTCTTGTTGGTGGGGTGTGGCATCCTTGTGCAAACACGTGGAGATTGGGGACAGGGGAGCAGGTGGGTAAAGCAGGCCTTGACTCTGAGGTCCTAAGAGGGAGGGAGAAGTTAGTGGCCCTTGCTTTGGTGCTGACTGGTGCTGGTGGCAGAAGGTGTGGGAACCTATGGCAGGGAAAGGGGTGCCTGTCTCACAGGGTAGTGCAGAGTGTATGCCCTGGAGGAATCCAGCATGGGCTGGTGTAGGGAACCAGCAGGGGCAGCCCTGGGGCCAGGTGGGTTCTGAGGGTGATGCCCAGGTGACAGCAGGGCATATGCCTCAGGGCCTACACTGAGCTGTGCGGGATCTACAGCACCTGGTATTAAGTCAAGAACATCTGGGGCCCGTGGGGAGCCCTGGGCCACGGGTATGGATGGGATGGGGCACAGAAGGCTCACACATGCAAGTGATGGGGTGGGTGGGAGGCCAGGGCTGATGCCCCGGGTCTGGGGCGGGCTCAGGCGCTGGAATTGGTAGGGTGGGCAGGGTTGGGTGTGGGACACTCACCGTGGAAGGCCCGCAGGTAGTTGTTGCCCAGATACACCAGGTTCTCCAGGGCAGGGTTAAACTGCTCCATGATGCTCTAGACCCGAGGACAAGGGAAACCGGGCAAGGAGACAAAAGCCACAATGAACAGAGGCCCCAGCTCCGTGGGACACCAGATGCTGGCTGCCTACCCTGAACCCAGGGAAGCCCAGAACCCTGGCTCTGGGCTGCAGGGTCTTTTGGGGGCTCGACCCAGGCCAGAGACTCCCTGCATTCACCTGCTACTTGCACAAGTCTAGCAGAGCTGCACGTCCACAGGCGGGACACCCCAAAGACACCTTGGCCTGCCCTGCTCTGCGCTTTGGCTGGACACACAGGCCTGTGGCAGCCACCTCAGGGGTGAGAGCAGGTCTTGCTCTTGTTGAAGAAGAGACCCCTTGGAACAGGGTGGTGGTACCTGGGTCACTGCAGGCCATACTGGGCTATGGCCTGGGGGAGAGCACCCTGGGGGGTGCAGACAGCCCTGGATTTGGACTTGGAATTGGGTCTTGATTCAATCCCAGTCACACCTCTTCCTCCCAGCAACCTTGAGCAAGCTCTCTGACCTCTGTGGTCTCGCTTTTCTTATCGATCAAAGAGCAGTTACTTTCTATTTCACAGGGATATAGGGAGGTGAGCTTATAAGAAAGCTGCTGCACACAAGAGGTGCTCAATAAATGTCCATGGACTCTGCAGCCAGTGCTCTGCAGGAAACTGAGGGAGGAACTCAGATATGAGGGGGAGGGAGGGAGTCCCACTCCCCATTCTCTGCTGGGCCTTCAACATGGGACTCCCACCTCCGGACTCAGCAACAGCCACTGGGCCCTGGCCCCAGGCTCATCCTGCCTGGTGGGGAGCGGGAAGTAGGGGCCCCTGCATGTGCAGCTGGCTGATCCCTGCTGCCTGCACCCCCAAGCCCATGACCCGACCCTGCCTGACTCTGGCCTCCTCCCCAGAACCTGAGGCCCTCACCCACCCTCTGTGCTTGGGCAGGAGGAAGCTCCCTGCCCTGGCCTTGCACTCACCCTGTAGATGGCCATGGTGGACCTGTAGAACTGGTCCATCTCGGGTGCCATGGGGCGGCCACGTGGACACCAGGCAGGAAGGGGTGGCAGGAGCACAGCTGGGCAGCCAGGGGTTGGTGTCAGCGGTGCTTGGTGTGCTTGGTGCTCGGCAGGCAGAGAGCAGGCTGCAGGGTGCAAGCTGCGGACGCGAGGTGGCCTTGGAGGAGGTGGCCGCTTAATTATTCACCAGCAGGGATGTCAATGCGATCTGGGGCGTAACCAGAGCCGGTGGGGAAGGCATCCTGTGACGACGCGGGCAGGTTCATGTGACCCGCCCTTCAATTATTTACCCCCTAAGTGTAGGCCGGTGGGCACACTGGGTGGACCACTCCCTCAGGCCACCTTGTCTTCACAAAACCCTGTCCTGGCACACGTTGCTGCCACACACTGTCCATTCAAGGGGCTGGAGTGCTTGATGCCCTCCTGCTGGGTTCTCTAAAGCCACTCTAGGGCCAGACCCACGCATACAGTGGACACACTGTGGGCCTTAGACCCCAACTTGTCCCTGAGCCCCTGAGCCCCCATGCCTGGGGAGGGGCACTATACCCATGATCCCTACACCCATTCCTCCCACCCAGGTCCTCTGAATGCCAGAAAGAGTGGGGCAGGGACCCTACGGGTGAGGACAGACCATTGGCCTGCTCCCTGGGAGCCCTGCCTTCGATGTCACCCCAACTCTGATGTCTTTCCTGGCTGGGGCACATGGGCCTACTGCTGTCTCTGGACACCCCACTGGCCTGTTCCACAGAGGCCTGGAAGAGAGGCGGCGCCCCTGCCCAAGCAGCCAGGCCACAGGGCACAGGCAGATGCACAAGCGCAGGCACACTGGAGTCCATGCCATTTATTTCACAGTTTGAGAGCCCCCATCCCCTCCCTCCCCAAACACTTCTGTAGGGAAGATTAAGGGAGCACACAGGGGTGACCTTTGCGAGCAGGGAGGACCCAGGGCGGGGCTGCTCCAAGGGTGGGGTGGCCAGAGGTGTAGAGGGGCAAAGTCGAACGGGGCGCCCTGCGCCCGAAGCCTGGGTTTCCCCTGTGGGTGGGGTGAAGCTGCCCCTGAGGAAAGGGAGGAGTGGGCTGTGCTCACTGGGAAAACTGGGGGGCCTTTGCAGGTCTGGGGGCCATGGGGTATGCTGGGCACTGTAGTGTTGTAGCTGAGAGGGGGCGGAGCCAGCCTTTAAGTCATTTGTCCCCTGGTAAGGACTCTGGGCTGGCCACCTGCTGTGACGAAAGGTGCCAAGGGTGGGTGGGAGAGGGCCTAGCCTCAGGCAGAAGCTGCGCGGCCCCAGGGCCTGGTCCACCCAGGACATGGACACGGTGTTGCTTGGCCCCAGCTCTGTCCTACGGTGGTGGCCTTGCCACAGGGAGGGAGACACTCAAGGCGAGAGCAGCAGCTGAACCAGCTTCTGAAACTGCTCTTGGTGCTGGTAGATGTAGACCTCGGTCTCCCAGAGTGCGTTGACCAGTGCTGCGTCATTGACCTCGTCCAGCATGATGTCGGTCCCCAGCAGGGGGTTCAATCTGTCCAGACCCAGGAGAAGGGGTCACCCAGGTGAGGCGGGGACAACAGCTAGGGCAAGGTGGGCTCAGGGATACAGCAGCCCTCTGGGAAGGGCTGGGGCCAGTGGTCCCACCAGACGGCTCGTGGGGTCCTCGTCTCACCTGAAGTACTGGATGCCCACCATCTCGCACCAGGCCCGGGCCCGGTCTACAGCCCGCCCGTCGGGATCTGTGCACTGGGGAGAAGCAGCCTCCATGAGCCCAGCCCACAGCACCCTTCCCGAGAGACCCCCAGCCTCTGGCACCCATCAGCAGGCCTCGGGGACTGGCCTGCTGTGTGGTCAAGGGCAGGGGTTTCACATGTGGCTCAAGAGTCTGTTTGGGGTCACCGCATGGCAGTGGGGTCAGCAGCTTAAGTCTTTGTCCCCTCCCTGTGGCTTCTGTGCATATATTCTGAACACAGTGGAGGCAGCAGGGAGCTGGGGAGTCACTGAGATACTGTGCTGGGGAGCCATTCCTGCAGCTAGCTAAGGAGGCTGCCTGACCCCAGCCAGAGAGAGGCCAGAGGGGGCAGTCCTGGCTGGAGATCCTGAAGGAAGGTAGGATGGACGCAGGGCCCGGACTCACACAGTCCACCACCATCTTGCCCAGTTCCTTGGCCCCAAAGACAGTCTTCGCCAGTTCCCAAGGGTTGCTGGGGCGGAAGACATCCACGCAGCTCACAGGCACCTGAGGAGACCGCCCCGTCCCCAGAGAGACCACGACGGACAGTTTCTTCACCTTGTTGCCCTGACCCTGCACAGAGGACAGGAATAGCTGAAGGACACTTGCTATGGGTAGGTGCACCCAGGGAAGTCAGAGAGGTCAGGGCTTGGCGCTGGGGGCACCACAGAGCGGAAGAGGCCAGAGGGCCACACACACGTGGGCACCCCTGGGCGCTGTTCCTGGCCAGCCCCCTTCCCGCAGGGCTATCATCCTGATCTCCTGGGAGAAGCGATGCGCACTAACGAGGCCTCACCCCACCAGCTGTGTGCGCCCCACCAGCCCGTGAGCTGTGTCCATGGACAGGCCAGGGAAGGGAAGGCAGCAACGGTCCTCACTCTCTGCTGTTCACGGGTGCGTACCCCACTACCTACCTCATCAATGCTCCTGGCAGTGTGCAAGAAGGGTGTGGCCACCTTGCAGGACAACTAGGACTCTCAAGCCAGCTGGGACAGACTAGGAAGAGTTTTCCCCTGGCCACATCATGGGATATGGGGGCTGAGACTTGCACCCAGGATCTGAGGTGTCCCCTGGCATTTGTTCAACAAACTGTAGCTGATTTACTGGGTGACCTTGACAAGCCTGCTAGGTGATCCACTCTGGGACCCAGGCTCCTCATCTTTACTAGGACTTTGACCAAACAAACATTGGTCTGAACCCTTCAGGACACCCACCCTGCCAGTACTTCCCAGGCCATGGCCACCAAGTCCTCACAGCAACCAGGTAGGCACTGTCTCCGTCCCCACACAACAGCTGAAGTGAGGGAGACCAAGCAGGCTGCTAACCCTGGCAGGCCCACAGACTCTGCACCACCCTGCCCCCAAGAGCCGCAGGATGGGTCCTCAGGCTTCAGAGCAAAGACCCCCTTTCCCACTGGCCCTGTATAGCTCTTGGGGACACTAAGACATGGAGTCCCTGCCAGAGCACACTCTGGGCAAGCATGTGTACCCTCCTCAGCAGGGTGGCATACACGGGCAAGTCCATTGCCCTCCCCACTGTCTGCGGTGCTATGAGCCCATCCTAGCACTCTCTGGCATGCAGTGCAAAAGGGGCCTGGACTCCCCCGGCTAGGACTCCGGGGGACAGCGCGTGCTGGCTGTCTGCAGCATGCACCCCCACCCAGCTCCTCACGTGACGCAGCTCTCACCTTGTGGATCAGGTCCTGGTTGTACTCATGGATCTCAGTCATGGCGTCCAGTGTGGGGTTGTTGGCCAGCAGCCCACCATCCAGGAAGCGCCCGTTGGGTCTAAAGTAGGTGGGCGCTGCCCCACTGCTCCGGGCTGCCCGCCACACCAGCTGCTCTGCAGTTGGGGACAAGGTGGCCCAGAGGCCCAAAGGCCAGGTATAAGACCTTGGCCTTCAGATTCCAGGGTACGCACTGGGGAGCAGTGCAGGGAGAAAGTCTGGGAACTCTTTTTCTGGAAGCACCAGGAACTGAACTCAGGGTTTTCACACTGAGCTACATCTCCTTAGTGCTTTTTCATTTTGAGTCAGGGTCTCACGAAGTTGCTAAGTTGCCCAGGCTAGGCTCAGACGTTCAACCGTCCTGCCTCAGCTTCCCAGAGTGCTGGAAGCCATGCTGCTGAGCCCCTCTGCCCTTTGGCTGGGAGAGGGCAGCTGAGGACCTCCTCGGGTGTCCTCTCGCTGGCCAAAGCCCAACGCCCCCACCAACGCCTGACCCCAGCCATCCGAGGCCCAAGGGTGACGGAGGTCACACCTGCAACTCTCGCCCACTGCCCATGGCACCCAGGACCACTTGCTTCCCACAGACACACAGACAAGGTTTTCACCTGAGGGCTGAGCTGGAGGCTTTAGGTTAACATTCGGGCTAATGTGAGGCTCCCGGAAGGCCTCAGGGGCCTCATAATTCCGGAAGAGGTGGAGCTCAGGCGGCTGCCGGTCAGACAGTGTCCCAGTCAGCATCACCCTGGGGACAGGCAAGGGAGGGCAGCTGACCCACCCACCCAGCCACCTCTCCTGCCCTAGTCCCACAGAGCCCTTAATCCTGCAGCCCTGGCTGGCAGGGTGGAAAGCACTTTGACCCAGCCCAGGCCATGCGGCAAACCTCACAGAGATGCCTTCTGGGAACTCATCCTACAGGCTGCCGCGCAGGGGCACTGGCAGGCAGGCAGCGTGTGCAAATGCCTGGGAGCCGCTGCACTATCTGCCGGCCACAGTCCCGTGTCTGCAGCTGCCTGCGCAGTGACCCAGGCCAGGCGGCACTTGTTTGTGTGTCAGCGGGTGGAAACAAGATGTTTACGCAGGGTGAGGGAGGTGTGGGACACTATTCGCCAGGTCTCATGTATTTCAGCGCTCTCAAGGGACCCTTGGTGGTGGCTTTGGGGATGGGGACTGCTTGATGGCTGCGGCCCAGGTGGGATGGGAGATTTCTTTCTATGTGACCTTTGATACCTTTCCTGTCTTATGCCACGAGAGTCACCAGCCTATTAAAGAGGATTCCTATTTATCTTGAGAGACACAAACACCCTAAACACAGCGTGACCCCCTGAAAAGCCAACATGGGGCCAGGGAGATAGCTCAGAGGCTTAAGCGCATGCCTGGAAGACAGCATGTACCAAAATGCTCACGCCTGTCTGGCTCCTGGATGTGAGAACTCCATCTTTGAATAATCATGAATAAAATGAAAGATTACTGTATAACACTATTCACTGCAATGTAACTTACTAATGCAAAAAAGCTAACTAGAACCACAGAAGGGATAAACAATGAAATGCTTTGCAGCTAAACAAAGTTATGCTGACAGGGAGTTCAGAGTAACATGGACTTATCTGTTACACTATTTAAAAAAAAAAAAAAAAAAAAAAAAAAGCTGGGTGTGGTGGCACATGCCATCACAGAGTAATCCTAGTACTCAAGAGGCTTGAGGTAAGAGGAGTTCGAGGTCAGCCTAGACTATGTAGTAAGACCCTGTTTCAAAAAGAAAGAAAGGAAAGAAAGAAAGAAAGAAAGAAAGAAAGAAAGAAAGAAAGTCAGTCTATAGAAAAAAGAAAGGGGAAGCTGAGTCAGGAGGAACGGAAGTCTGAGGCCAGTGTGGCCACTGAAACCAGGCATGGGGGTGCACATTGGTAACCCCAGCGCTGGGGAGGCTGAGACAGGAGGATCACTATGAGTCCAAGCTGCACAGCGATCCCTGCACCAAATAAATAAATGAATATTTTTAATTAAAAAAAAAGAAGTCTGAGGCCAGCCTAGGCACTTACTGAGATCTTGTTTCACAATAAATATTTGCAAAAAGGGCTGCCTAATGGCAGCACACTTCGCCAGCATGTGCGAATCCCTGCATGCCATACCTGCCCCCAGCCCAGCATTCAAAAAGACCAACCAGTTCTACGCAGGGCACATGAGAAGACATCCCTATGCAGGGACAGCGCTGTGCAAACGGAGAGCTCACAAAAACAAAGGCGTCCAGAGTGCAGACGCCCAACACCTGGAAGGGGACCCTGAGCAAATGGACTTCAGGTGCACAACACAATTAAGAGATGGTAAAATGGTACTATACATATTCTTGAGAAAATAAAAATCCCTGGGCTAGAATTTTAGAGTCAACATGATAAAAAGCAAAATAAAATGACTTTCAAGAGATGATGTGAAGTTAGGTTATTTTCAAACAATTCTACTAGGGGAGAATTTAGCAACAGCAGATGCACCCTAAGGGAAAGTAAAGAGAATGCACTGGACGCAGGAGGAAAAGGTCCAGGACCGCAGCGTGCAAGCAGGAAGGGCATCCCACAGCACACATACCAAGGAGTCAGCTCGCCCCGGTGTAGGAACCTACTGGCAAATCTCGCACGCTGGCTGACATTGGCCATGGCGGGGGTATTCCTACCGGAGGAACTGGTGAGTGCTACAGATCCGGGCTTCTCCAAGATATAGTTCCCACCACAGCAGAGCCTACCAGATGGATCTAAATGAGCACCAGATTAAGCAACAGTTAACACTCAGACGGACCCGCATGTGTGAACATCGTATTGTCTCCCTAGCGTAAGAGCCTGAAAGAGTAAATAGAATCCAAAAGGTACAGTAGATGCTGTGAAAGGGAAAGAAACTGCTCAAAGGGAAGGGACAACTGGGATGAGGGGCGGGAGAAAAGGAAGAAGGAAGGGAATAAATACATATGTATATAGACAGGATAGCTTAGATACGTGTACTGTGGGTTTCTGCTGGTCTACTGAAAGGAGCAGTTAATGCTTAAATTTTTTCTCTCTTTTTATTTTTATTTATCTATTTATTTATTACCAACTTCGCATGCTTATATCTGATCAGAACAACTAATTTGAAGACACCAATATGTAAGAGAACATTACTGAATTCCTATCATTTCGTTTAGTGAAATTCTGCATCATTTCTAATGTTTCCTTTTACTATTTTTTATTCTCTTTACTACCTCTTACTCTCCAAAGCAGCTGGTTCAACTATACTAGGGTCAGACTGAAGGGCCTTTCAGGGAAAAGCATTCCTAGAAATAAAGAAGGACACCCCATAACAACGTAAGATTCCAACCCCCAAAGGATGCATAAAACATTAAATCTGCATGTAATTGGTAGTAGAGTATCAAACTACTGAAGTAAAAAGTGACAGAACAGCAAAAAAGCAAGAAAATCCCCATCAGCTCAGTGATTGATAGAAAAATCTTTTTTGTTGCTGTGTGCGCTCTCACTACTTTGAAGACAGGGATACACAGGGCAATGACTACTGTTGTTCTCTTTTTTATTTGATAAGAGAACTTTGTTTTCATAAAATAAAAAATTAAATAATGGATAGAAGAAATGAATACAATCAGGAAGCATATGGAAGACTGAGAAGCTTTAAGTAACAGTCCTGGCCAACGTGGCTTAAGAGGCCCATACAGAACTCAGTGCAGGGATCCGATGGTCTCTCAGGCGGTCTGCTGTACCGAGGGAGAAATGGTGGCCGGAATGAGGAATAGACAGACAAGAAGACAAGAGCTGCGTCAGCTGGTGGCTCCTCCGCCTGGGTGGAGAGATGGCTCCCTGAGCGACGGTAAGAGCCTTTATTTATACCTTTACAAAGCTGCAAGACACAAGGCTGTCCAGGCTAACAGCTCACCACGTCCAGGTAGGACGTGTTCCTCAACACTGAGGTAGCCTGACTGCTTTAGGCAACAAGGCCTCATCCTGCCCCCACATAGATCAATTTCAGCTTCAGCGGCTCCCAACACTTCGCACCCAACAACTGCAGCATCCATAGTCTTTTAAATTAAGTCTTTACAAAAACTAACTGAAAAGGGCCACAAATCAGGTCTCAAGTTTTAAAAGATCCAAGTCATGTTCTCTGGCCACAGCAATTAACAACAATAAGATAAACAGAAAATGTCCTCAGTTTAGAAACTGAAAAATGTATTTTAATTATCTATAGTTAAAAAAAGTTAGAAAATCTTTTGAACTGAATGCTGTTAAACATGCACGTAGGATATAATCAAAGTAGTATTTAGGGAAAATGTTCAGATTCATATATACTAGCAGACCTATCTACAGTGGTCCCCCTTGCCCGTAGTTTTGCTTTCTGTGGCTTGTGTTGCCCGTGGTCAGCCATGGTCTAAAAATATTAAAATAAGCACTCCTGAGGTTTAAGCTGTGTGCTGTCCAAAGTAGCAAGATGACTCTTGTGCTGTCTTGTCTCCTCCCTGGGTTCCCGCAGCCTTTTCTGTCACCACACTGGCTGCCCTGCTGTCCTGAGATTGACTGTGGGCTCCATCCACAGTCTCAGACATCCCATGGATGAGGGGGAACCAGTACACACACACACACACACACACACACACACACACACACACACCTCACATCATATAGAGCAGCAGAAGAAAATCAATGAGTAGGGCTGGTGAGATGGCTCAGTGGTCTAAAGCATCTCCTTGGAACAAGCTTGGCAAGGCATCAGGGACCGCGATTCAATCCCCCAGCACCACATGCCAGCCAGCCCCGCCCCCTGGTGGGCTGAGCTGGCCACACACACACACAAAATAAATAAATAAATATTAAAAAAAAAAAAGTTAAAAAAAAAAAAAAGAAAATCAATGAGTAAAAACATTCTATTTCAAGAAGTTAAAAAAAAAAAAAAAAAACCCAGAGATGGGGGTGGCGGTGCACAGCTGTTGTCCCAGCCTTTTGGGAGCTGAGGGAGGGATATCAAAAGTTTGAGCCCAGCCTGGGCAACTTAGAGACTTAACAAGAGAGACTCTAGCTCCAAACAAAAAAACACAGAAGAGCTCACTGTGAAGGCCCTGAGCTCAATCCTTCGTTCAGCAGAACAAACAGACCAAAGAAGAGCGCTATGGCTTATATCTGAGATGCTCCCCACAGCTTCGAGCGCTCACAGGCAGGGCATCTGCAGGAGACTTGTGAGCACGCAGGGCCAGCCACAAGAGGCTGTCCCTGGAGCATCTGCCCTCCCGCCCTACTTCCCGGCTCCCGGTCGGAGCTGCTCTCCTCTGCTCACGCCCATCCACCATGCTGCCAACCACACAAGGGCTGAAACTTCTAAAACGTGAGTCAAAATAAATTCTCCTTGATGTTGTATCAGGCAGTTGCCTCAACAGTGAGAAAGTGACTAAGAGGTAGATACAAGATGAATGAGACAGAAGGCAAACAGCAGTCATAAATGATAACCACTGATGTTCTGAAAGGCTAATCCATCTAGAAATCCTGTGGCAAGACTGACACAGAGGAGAAGGGGTGAAGACAGGAATAACAGTGCTGCAGACCCAGACAGTAAGAGAACATTTGGGACAAACCTCTGCCGATAACTTTAAGGAGTTAGGTCAAATGGACGCATGCCTAGAAAAACATCACCAAAACTAACCGAAGACATTGAGAAACCCGGGCCTCACAACCATTAAAGAAATTAATGACATCATTAAAATCTTCCCTTAAGCCATCCCCAGGCCTAGACAAGTTTCTTGCCAAGGTCTACCAAGCATCCAAGGAAGAAATAAAGTCCTACTGTAGGAAGTCCTCAGGAAAGTAGAGACAGAAGAAACACCCTCAAAACCAAAGCCACGAAGCTCAGGTCACCCATAAACACGGAAGTGAAACTTCTAACCAAAATATTAGCAAACACAACGCACCAGAAGTTGCTGTACAAAAGGCTCCCGGAAGTGAAAGCAGCGACATGAACAGGTGTTTGCACACCTGTGCTCATGGCCGCGTTACTCACGACAGCTGAAAGGCAGAAGTGACCCAGGTCTCCACCTGGCAGGGAAGGCACACAAAACGGCGGCCTACCAGCGCGATAGGTACAGAGCAGCCTTAAAAAGGGAGGAGATGCTGACACTTGCTACAGCAAGGACGAACCTGCGCGACGCTAAGCACAGCAGAGCCTCGGTTCATGAACTTCTGCATACAATTCTAGTTGTAAACCGAACTGGATGAGAACCAAATCAAATTTCCCTATAAGGTCAACACTGAATCTAACCTCTGATTTGGAGCTTGTCCAATTTGGTTTGTGACTAGAATCCTGGGAAGGACTCAGTTCAGGAAATGAGGTACCACTGTGAAACAAGCTCTGCTTCCTCAGGGACTCGGTGATTTTTGCACCTAGATGTGTGCCCCAGAGAAATTCAAGCACACAAGTGCCACACAGCAGGAAAGCCAGGCCTGGGAGTGCACACCTATAACCGTAGCACTATGGGAGGCTGAGGCAGGAAGATTGCAAGTTTGAGGCCAGCCTGGGAAACTTGGCAATTTAGCAAGACCCTATCTCAAAATTTAAAAAAATAATAAAACAGGGCTGAGGATATAGCTCAGTGGGAAGGCCTAGGTTCAAGCCCTAGTACTGCACATAAAAGAAAGCAAACTCAAGTGTTCTACATAGTATTCCCACAAAACCCAAGCAAAACAGCCTGAATGTTCACCTTAGGCACTTGGAGAAGCCAACTGTGGGGCCTGCGGACAAGATGGACTCCACCAAAGGGAGGACACTGAGTGACACAACAGGAAGGACACTGACAAGTGAGACACAGTGGGAGAGAGATGGCACCAACTGATTCCATCCACACACTGAGTGCAGACCTAAGCCGTGCTGTTCCTGGTACATCTGCAGGGAAGGAAACGGTCCAGAAAAGGCAGGAGTTTGCTCTGTGCTTCGGGAAAGATGCTGCCCTGGGTGCATGGGATACAGATGCGACAGGGTGGGGCTCTAATTGTTTCAGGGTTTATGACTATTTTCTCCATAATTATTCACTAATCTGTGTACTTTTTTTTTTTTAAAGAGGTCTTACTATGTAATTCAGGCTGGCCTTGAACTTGTAGGATCCTTCTGCCTTAGCATCCCGAGTGTTGGGATTATAGGCCTGTGCTACTACAGCCAGCTTTGTGTATGTTCTTTAAAGAGTATATGGTCCATTGTATCAAAGAAAAAAATATTTAGAATCAGATTTCTAAAACCTTTGTTGAAATTATCTTCCTGGGGCTGGGGAGATAGCTCAGCAGTCTAAATGCCTGCCTGGGAAGTGCAAGGACTGGGATTCAATCCCCAGTACCATATGCCATGTCAGCCCTAAAGCCCGGGCGTGGTGGTGCACGCCTGTAATCCAAGTGCTGGGGAGGCTGAGACAGGAGGATCATTACGAGTCTGAGCTGTGTGGCAGGACCCCATACCAAATAAACAAAGAAAGAAAGATTAAAAATATTTTTAAAATTATCTTTCTGGCTAATAAGCTGTTCTTTTTCATTTTCTATATTTTCCAGTTTTTCTTGAAAGTTTGTTTTATTCCTAAAATGAAAAAAAAAAAAAAAAAAAGGTTTCTTACCAAACAGCCCTATTGCCCTCCTGGCCCTCGGCGGCCTGGCTCACACTGCAGGCCGCCCTCCCTGACTACCTCATCCTTGGTCCTCTCCACACCAGGTGTGAGCCGAGGAACCCTGTCTGTGGCTGCTCAGCAGCAGGCCAGCACTTCCACAGGCTCATGCGGAGCGGGCGCCCTGCAGAGAAGTTGCTGGCCACGGCCCCGTGGGAACCTCCTAGCACTGCGGCCCTGGCAGCCCGAGTCCTGACGGCCAGGCTGTGCACAGCTCCCAGCCTTCCACTGCCAGACGCACCCCCTCCCACAGGACAGGGAGGTCCTGATGTGAGCTGGACACCAACAGCCTTGGCCAGGCTGGGCGGCTGGATGGGTGGCGACAGCAGTAGGCAAATGCCAGTGGTGACGGCTGCCTGACTGGTGTGGCCACAGATACACATGTACCCCCACCCTGGGAACACGATGCTATTGTTTCAGGCCTTGGGAGGCTCTGCAGACTAAGAGAAGCTCGGGTAGCACGAAGGGCTGAGCTCCTGGGAATCGGCATTTGTGGAAGTGGGACCCCCACCTCCCAAGGAGAAGATGCCCAGAGAGCACTCCCACCACCTAGGAGTGCTGAGCTCACAGAAGGGGATCAGCCTCAGACAGCCACCTGAATGACACTCCTTTCTCCAATCTTGCATGACCTGCAAACCAACACCTGGCACCCACATGATTCACTGTCCTAAGCCCTGCCTGACTTGCACAAATTCAAGTTTGTCTGCCTTAAATTATACAGGTATAGGTGCCGGGTGTGGTGTCCCAGCACTTGGAGGCAGAGGCAGAAGGATTGCAGTGAGTTCAAGGTCAGCCTGGGCTACACACTAAGACCCAGTCTCAAAGAATAAAAACCAAAACAGAACAAAAATTTCAGGCACTGCCAAAGCTATCTGCTCCTGACCTCCCCAGTGCTGTGTGAGATGTGAGAAGCAGTCACTGTAACGTGCAGGGACTGGGCACAGCCTTGGTGCAGCCGGCCTCAAGAGGCGGGAGGCAGCCCAGGCGCTGGCAGGTGGCAGAGGAGGGCCCTTGGGGTCACCCCCTCTGTCCTCTGGTGTCTGTTGCCAATTTCGTGCCCCCTTCTCCCATCTTCCAGAGAAACTCGTTGTGGAAATGGGGAGTTCTAAGGGTCCCCTAGGACAGCATGCGTGGTGGGCGTGAGGGCTTACTTGGGCTTCTTAACATCCGTCATCTTGGTGTGCTCCCCAAACTCCCGCTTCAGGAACTCCTCCAGGGGCCCCGACTCGTAAGGCCGAGAGCCCCGGAACACCTCATCTTTCATGCGGAAGTATAGGCCACGCATATAGGCCATGGACTTGCCTAGTAAGAGAAAAGGGGTTTGGGGGTGATCAGGATCATTTGGGAGCCTCCCTGCAGGGAGAGGCCATTCCCATTCCACAAGGGCCAGATGCAGGGACACTTGAGCCAGCACTGGCTGGAGGCCACAGAGGACAGGGCAGTGCAAGGGGTGGCCTTTCCCTACCAACTTCCCACGGAGGCAGAGCCCTCCCACACCCCTAAGGCTCTGTGCTTAACTCTGTGTTCATAATTTTCATTGTTTTCCTTAAAAAAGGGCCCTGAGTGTATAACCTAGATCCACCCAGGAGACCCAGGAAGGAAGGAACAGGGCTGTGTGTGCTGCCTGGCTGCCTGGAGCAGTGGGCTCCGCATGGCAGAGGTGTGCAAAAGGAGAACACGAAGCGACTTCCCAACCCTTGCCATGGCACCTGGGGTGTGAGCACCTGAGAGGGAGAAAGCAGTCCCCCGCGGAAGACGCTACTTTTCCAGGGAGGTTGGGACTCCTGTACCCGGTACCCACCCAGGCTTTCTGCCTTTGTGGCCCAAGCTGCCAGATCAGGGAGGGCACAGGGTCCCCAAGGCCGGGGGAGAGCCGTGCAGACCCTGAACCCCAGCCTGACCAGCCCAACTCCTGGATGACCCCTTGTGGTCCTCAGGGTCCCAAGGGCTCCAGTGAGAATCTTCAAAGCAAAATAAGTACTTGTCAACATGCTGCTTGAGGTAACCAGTCCCCTGCGGCTTGCACCCAATGTCCTCTCTTCCCCTCCCCCATGGGAGGCTGCTCTCAGCGCACATGTCTATGCCCCACAGCACCCTGCACTATCTGCTACAAAGCCCAGCGAACACCTAGATGCCTGTGTCCCCATGCACTCTGCCCCCCAGCGCCAGCACAGGCCTTACCCCCTGGCCCCACCGCAGTGGCCTCTGGGAGGTGGGAATCCTCTCCTGGTACTGCAGCTTTGGTCACCAGGAGCCAGGTTTGGAAGGTGCTCTGGAGAAAATGCAATCCGACCAGTGCTGGGCAAGAGGTCACCAGTCGGAGGGCCTTAAATCTCCTGGGTGAACAAGCATGCAGACCAGGGCTGCAGCATGCTGGCACTTGGTGGCCCATCAACCTCGTCCTGCTCCTGCCAACATCCAGGTGCTATTCCCGTGTGCAGTGGGGGGCGAGGCCCACGGTGCTGTCTGCCAGGTGTGGAGAGGCAGTGTCCAGAGCACTGACACGCCCTACACCACCTCTGCCCTCCAGTGTGCACCTACCGCCCTGCCTTGCTCCTCCCAGCTGGGACCCCAACACCTGCAGCCCCCACAAAAGACACATAGACCCTGCGCTAACCATCACCCTCTCGCCTTCCCTCCTCTTTCCCTTTCTTGAGACAAGGTCTTGTTACATAGCCCAGGCTGGTCCTAAACTCGTGGTGACTATCCTGCTTCAGCCTCCTGAGTGCTGGGATTACATGTGTGCAACCATGCCCAGCGCCACTGCCCCCTTTCTGCAAAGCTCTTCAAACATGCTCCGCCCCTGGAGGGCAGGTCTCAGCCCACCCTGCCCTGCCCGCCCCCCAGGGGCTGCACTCACTGTGCAGAATGGCCAGGGCCAGGATGCCCCCTGTGCTGGTGCCTGCCACCCAGTCAAAGAGGTCCTTGGTGGCCACGCCAGAGGCCTTCTCAATGGCGATGAGGAGCTGGATGATGACCAGGCCTTTCACTCCTCCTCCATCCAGGCAGAGCAGGTGGTCGTGGCTGCAGTGAGCACAGTGGCAAGGATGAGCACAGTCCCCCGACTGTCAGCACTCACGTTCTCTGTGCTCAGGCCCTGTCCCACGAGCATCTGACTGTACCCGGGCGGTGCATAACAAAGCCATCAGAGCTCACCATGGGGCCTATCCTGTGTGCTGTGGGGATGAAGGAATAAAGCTGTGCTGGGGCCGGCCAGATAGTTCCGTGGACTAAGGCACCTGCCTGGGCAGGCACAGGAACCAGGGTTTGATCCCCGGTGTGCCGCGCCAGCTCCACTCCCAGGGTGCACTGAGAAGGCAACTGAGACTGAGCACGGTGGTGCATGCCTGAAATCCCAGCACTTGGGAGGCTGAAAACAGTAGGACCACCATGAGTCTAATCTGTGTAGTGAGACCCTGTACTAAATATGCTTTAAAAAAGTGTTTCAGGGGTTGCAAAAGAAAGGAAAATGGGAGAGTGGGGTTGGGGTGCCTTGGAGAGGCACTATGGAACACCCCACATTGGCTCCCTGTCTGTGAGGCCAGCAGCCCAGCTTGGCTCAGGTCTAGGCTCACCAGAGTAGGGGCCTGATGAAAGGTTGCTGCAAGCAGGCCCCGTGGGGAGGGCTGGCTCCCACAGCCAGCAAGACTGGTGGTGAGGGGTCACTGGGGTGGGAGAGGCAGGGAGAAGCAAGGTCTCTTTGGCTGGGAACAGGACAGTGTCACCAGCACGCGCACTAGGAGGACACTCCCTGCTAAGCATATGCCCATCTCTGAGTGAAGGAAGGGAGCCTAGGAGTCAGGACTGGTGCGAAATTACACAGCTAGTGATACGGGGCTGGCACTCCAGGTCTTGCTCAGCCTGGCCCCCAAGGTGGCAGAGCCCGCCAGGACTGCCCATCTGGAAGCCCAAGAGGACACCAGCATGGTGCGTGCTCAGCCCTGCCTTCCAGCCCCTTCTTGCCTCCATCTCAGCTGGACTCTGCCTCGAGAAGCTGGCACCAGCAGGTCCTGTGGCACAGCTGTCCCGCCCCCTCCTTGGAATGGCTGCCACTGCCGCCACCACCAGGTGAGCAGTCCCTCCTAGTCCAGCTGATTCATGGAGGAGGCCTGTGAATCCCACCTCCAGGCCTGCTCCAGGGTACTCAGCTGCCTAGCAGCCCAAAGGGTGGTAGGGGAGGTCCAGAGAGCCCTGGCCTGGAAGCCCAGATCAAACATGCAGACTCTCCTGAGAGGTCACCTGGAGGGGCCAGGGATCACTGTCCTCCCACAGGGACAGCTGCCTTACCTGGGGCCTGTGGTGTGTATTCATGTGCACACATTTCCATGCACGGATACACAGAGCGGATGGGGCACAGGCGCCTCTGGAGCACACACTATGGGTGACCATGGAATGAGTGTGTCACCAAGGGCTCTGACACCTGAGTGGCCAGAAAGAAGTGTGGGATCTGGCTGCCAGGCAGGCTCAGGAGCAGGGGCTGCCTCTGATATGGAAGAACGCGATCCCTGCTGGGCATGTGGCACAAAGGACATGGAATATGATGACCTTGCTTGAGTCTTCAGGTTGGCCGGCTCTCAGGCTCTGCCTCTGCACAGCTTCCTACCTGGGAAGCTGCAGGCAAGACAGGGGGCTGGCAAGTCTTCTGTCCTGGAACCTGCTACCTTCAACCAGGGGCAGGCTTACACTTAGCTCTAGGCCCAGCCCCCCACTAGGCCTGCCTGAAGATAGCTTGTGATCTGCAAAGGCCAGGTGGAGTTAGCATCTCTGGGGGGGGGGGCAGGACCACAGCCTCCTCTAACCCAGGCTAAGAGGAGAGGGAAGGGAGTGCAGCCTAGCGCCCCCTCCACCCAGCATGGGTCCCAAGAGCTGCCACTGGCTATCACAGAGGAAGGAGCTGTGACAGTCCCCAGGAACTTGTCCTCTGCCATCAACCGTGTGACCTGCATAATGAGAAGGGCTGCCTCGCAGGGACGGTAGGGAGCAGAGGAAGGCCCAAGTCCACTGGGCAAGACTTGGCACCCCATCCTGCCCTTGCCCCACTTACGTCCGCTTCTCATCCCTCGTGGAGCTCAGGAGAAAGGGCGGCTTCCGGGCGCGGGAAACATGCACGAGGTCCTCCAGCTCTGCGAGGCACAGGGCAGGGGTGCTAGGCCAGTGAGGCCCTGACCAGCACCCCCTGAGCCCCTAGAACAAATCTGGAGCTGAGTCACCACCCTGCTGTCCCCGTCATCTGCTCCAGGAGGGGCTCATGGTCCAGCACATGGCTGGGCAGGAGGCCATAGCCTCTGGGGAAGAGAAGTGGGCTGGAGCAGGGCAGCCCTAGCAGTGCTAAGGCCACCTCCCAACTCCCAGGTCCTCAGCGACTCCCTCCTGAACCCCAGGCGCGGACCCACACCCCGAGGTCTGCTGTATACCAGGCGTTCCTCCATCCGGCAGAGCGGACGCTCGCACAACAGCCTGCAGGGGAAGATTCACTGCTAGAGGACCTGGCTCACTGCTCAGGACTGAGCTCCGTGAACAGAGACACTGTGCCCGTGTCCTAGTCCCCAGGCTGAAAACCTCTTCAGCGGCCTCTGGGCTTAGGCCCATCCCCCTGCCCCCTGCAGCCTTCCTTGGTGCCCAAGGCCCACCATGCCCATCTTCCTGACAAGCAGCGTAGCAGAGGAAGGCCCAAGTCCGCTGGGCAAGACTTGGCACCCCATCCTGCCCTTGCCCCAGCAGCTGCCTGATTCTGTCCCAACAGCCCGCCCACCACTTTGAGGAAGCCAGAGGCAGCAAGGCAGGCAGGTTGCGGGGCAGACTCCCTTGCTAGGCACATGGCCCCAGAGAGGGCACAGAGAGCAGACCAGCTGGAGGGGCAGCAGCAGGCAGTGCCAGGGAGGGGAAAGGGAAGGTGCGTGTGTCTGCGTGCACAGCCAAGAAGCAGGGGGAGGTGGGGTCGGGGACAGGGCCACAGCTAATGTGGCACAGGGCCGGGCTCAGCAGCCTCTCTAGGCCTAAGCATTACCCATCAGCCAGTGCGCCCCAGGCCCACTGTCCAGCCTAGTTTGGGTGACTGCCTGCCTGTAAGACGGAAACATAAACATGGGGTGGGCAAGGAGAGAGGTGGCTTCTGCTCTGCTTCATGGGCATGACCCTGGCTTGAGGAGCTGCAGTTGGCCTCCTCCAATGTGTCTTCTATTTAGGGACCCCACTTACAAGCAGCCTCTGTCTCTAGGCGGGTCAGGCCACAAAAGGCCCAAGGAAGCTTCCTTGTGTCCAAGGTCACCAAGGATGCTGACTGCTGGGCGACATTCAAAGCTTACAGGTCCCTGAAGGGGCCAGCAGGGGGCGTGAGGCCTCACAGGACAGATTGGAGGTGAGCCTTGAAGTCAGACAGCAGGGAGGGGGATCCTCACTGCCTACCCTGGGGGTGATAGGCCACAAGTGTGCCCACTTTACAGTGTCAGGAAGCCTTGAGTGGACAACCTGAGAGATGCCCAGGGCATCCTCTCAGACCGTGACGGCCCACAGATCCTCAGCCAGGGATTCCCGAGGCTTCCACAATCTGTGAGGTGCTGGCTGCCTGCACTGGCTGAGCTGGTCCCTGCCCCACTTTATCACCCCACCCTTGAGGACTTCTTTGACCCAAGGCCTGGCACAGCTGGGGAGGAGGGCAGGGAAGGGAGGGGCCTACCTAGGCTGCTTAAGCTGATCGCCGGGGGCTGAGCTCTCTCCACTGAGCAGGGGTGAGGCGATGCCACAGAGCCGTACTCCGCGGGGGCCCCTTGGGTGGGTGGAAGGCTGCAGGTGGCCCCCAGGGTTCTCAGCAGAGTCAAGAATGCTCTCCTGGTGACGACTTTTATGGATTGGGGAGATGGCACAGGGTGGAGACGGTATGAGAGGTCCTTCCCTGCACACAGGGACCCCATCTGCCTCTCATCTAGCAGCCTCCAGGGTTTTCTGGGCAGGGGCTGGTGGCCGAGTGTGGGACATGGCCAGAGGATGGGACAGAGTCACCCTGCCCATTTTGGGGGGGGACTCTTTCTGTCCTTCTACTCCAGCCACGGAAGCAGAGCTCCCATCTCTGAGTGGACAGCTCCTCTCATAGTTGGAAAGGGATGAAGCAGCCATTTAACGCATGGGACAGCCTACACACATGGCCATATACTCATAACTGAGTACACCCCATGGAGGGGCTCCAGACTTCTACTTGGCTGCTCTGACGCCAGGCTCGGAGGAAGGGTGCAGCGCATGCACATGTGTGTTATGCACAGAGCGCATGCGCAGGGCTTGTGCCACAAGGCACTTGCGGTACACGCAGGGCTGTCCTGCCAGTGCCTACCCTATTTCCGCCTCTTGGGAGCCTGAACGCCCTGAGATGGGATGGGCATGTGTGGAAGAGGCCCTGGCTCAGGAAGCCTTGCACGAACTGCATCTGCTGCTCAGGGCCCCCGTGTGTGGGGAAGGCCGCTGCCGCTCTGCTTTTACTGTGCTCCTGCCTCTTGCAGCAGATGGAAGGTCTGGCAACTGATGACTGGGACGTCCCTCCTCCCCAGTGCGCACACCCCACGCCATGCCACCTCTACCCAACTCTGATCTTGGAAGGCAGAGCACATACGTTTGCTGATCTTGGAGGCTATGAAGGCAGGAGTCTCCCCAAAGTCATTCGGGGCGTCCACTTCTGCCCCAAACACAATGAGGGCCTTCACCAGCTCCACGCTGTCTTTCTGTTAGACATGGTGGGGGAGAGGTCGCAACAGCTCAGAGAAACGGACAGAAAAGAGCCCTGACTTCACAAACTACTCAGTGGGCCGCTCAGCAGCAAGGGGAGGACACTGGGGCTCCCCTGTTCCCCATCCTCAGCTTGAACTACACAGTTTATAATTCCACACCTGACAAATGGGCCTCCAAGTACCCCTGGGTAAGGGTTTAAGAATCCAGGCAGAGTTAGCCATGGTGGCCTTGCCTGGAATTGCAGCACTTGAGAGGCTGAGGCAGAAGAATGATTTGAATTCAAGGCCAGCCTGGGCTACAAAGTGAGTTCAAGGCCTGCCTCAACTACATAGTGAGATCCTGTCTCAGAAAAAAAGAAAAAGAAAAAAAGAAAGAAAAAGGTAATAACCGAGTTAGAATGTACCGGTACTCACAAAGCTCCTCCACGGAAGCAACAGACCCCTGAACCTGACCCAGGGCTCTAGGGACACAGGTTTTGAGGGTGAGTGAGGGCTGGGAAGGCTGTCCTGCCCACCCGCCCGGAAAAGCTGGGCACCCACACTACTGATGGCAGCGTCAAGGGCAGCTCCCCCCACACAGCACTGCACACGGGGCTTCCCAGCAGGGGCGGGCCTAGGTGGGGCCGCGCAGGGTAACCCAGCAGACGGGCCGCCTGGAAACCTGCACTCCGGTCTCATCATGTCCCTCCTTCTTGGGACCTGATTGCCCTGGAAGTGTGGGGTCTAGAATGGAGTTTCCCAAACAGGTCATGTCCCTTTAGGATTTATAGGGGCACGGGGGCATAGGTATGTGTTGGTCACGAGTTCTGTATTTCTTTTGAGGTTTCATCTGTCACATTGATTCACGACTTAGCGCAGTCATACAGCACTGACTACCAGGTACTTAAGAATGTTTCAAAATAAGTCAACTTGAAGAAGTCCCTGAATAGTAACATGAGGTGGTCGATGAATGTGCCCAAGGGTGGGCAAATGACCAGACCCTGGGAGGCCACAAGCCACAGCAGCAGTCCTCAGAGCAAGCTCTGCAGGTCCCATGAGCCCATGAGGCAGCATCTGAGGGTCTGTGAGGTGAGAGCTGTGTTTGTACAAGTGCCAAGATGTGACCTGTCTTTGAATTATGTCAGTATCTGCACTGGTGACACAAAAGCACTGCTGGCTAAAACTGCTGCCGCCTCAGCACCAATCCAGACAGCAGCACCACACTAAGAGCCTTTTCCTCCCTGGTCACTAGATCTGCACTTCTTTTGAGTTTCCTTTCATCTGTGGCATTCAGAGTATTTTTTTAAAAGCCAGTTTAGGGGTAAGGGATATAGCTCAGGGGAGCAGCACCTGCCTGGCAAGTGCAAGGTCCTGAATTCAATTCCCGGTACCCCCCAAAAAATAAAATAAAAATCCAGTTTCACTTAAGAATGCCTCTGATGAGCCAGTCACAATGGCACATTTCTGTAATTTCAGCCACTTGGGAGGCTAAAGCAGGAAGATTTTGAGTTTGAGGCCAACCTGGGCAACTCAGCCAAAACCTTATCTCGAAATTAAGCAATGCAGTGAACCTGTTGCTTCAAGGAAAACAACTGACACTACCCTGCAAAGTCCACGATAAAATTCAAACCTTTAAGCAAAAATTAAAATTATAGAAAAGCTGCATGTGCCATGACAGGCCTGACAACTTTGCACAAATCAAAAGATTTGGGACTGGGGAGATGGTTCAGCAGTCTAAGCACCTGCCTGGCAAGTGCAAGGACCTGGGTTTGATCCCTGGTACCGCATGCTGTGCCAGACCTGGAACCGGGTGTACTAAGACCCTGTGCCAAATGAATGAAAGATTAAAAAAAGAAAAAAGAAAAAAAAGATTTTTCTGATGAGGTAGGTACAAAGACTTACAAATGTGGCTTTTTAAAACAAAGCTAAGCAGACCCTTATCCAAAAAATCTGCAGTGCTCCAAAATCCAAATGCTATTCAGAAAGTTTCAGACTTGGGAGCATTATGAATTTCCAGATTAGGGGTATCTACAGGGTAGCATCTATGCACATATTCCTGAGGCCAAAAACCAGAAATCTGAGGCACTCCTGGTCCCAAGTGTCTCGGATCAAGGATTCCCAACCTGTACTGCACAACGAAACAGGGCAACTGACACCAAAGCACACCTGGGCAGGAGAGCCCTGCAAAGTACACGAGAGGCCAGCAGAGTGCACGTGACAGAGTGTGAAAGGTTCATGCAGATGCAACAACCAGTGTGCCCCAAGCCGCCACTGTGGTCGGGTGTGCGGGCGGGGACATGCCTATAGTCCTAACGCTTAGGGAGGCTGAGGCAACAGAATTTGAAATCTGAGCCCAGTGTGGGCAACCTCATGACTTATGGGACCTGGCTCAAAAACAAACAAACAAAAAATATTTCAAAGGAGCTGGGAATTTAGGTCAGTCCAAAATCCCTTGCTTCTTGCTTCAATCCCCAGTACTGGGGGGGGGGGGGAGCCAACTCCTGCCAGCGTCAACTTCTGGCGTAGTATCAAAGGAATACTCGCTGTGGTCTCTGAGGCACTACTACACATCATTTCCAGCTACACAGCCACACGAGGCCTGCTTTTCTTCACAGTTTTCAACTGAACAACATATTGCAGCTGAGTGAGTACAGCAGGAGCTGGGAGAATCATGCTTTCTGTGAAGCAGGCATTAAAAAGATTCACAGAAATGTAAAATGATGCCAACTCTCGCTCATCACTTAGCTTTTTGTTTGTTATGACAAGGTTCTTTTTTGTAAAAACATCACTGCTGCTAGCATGTGTTTGGTTTACTGTTATTTTACATGAATTAATAAATATTTTAGAAATACCTTAAACTTCTGCAGTGGTAAATCTCGCTGGGCGAAATCCCTATGAACAAAATACCTCTGGGATCCTCAGTATTAAGAGCAGAAAGAAAAAAAAAAAAAGAGCAGAAAGGCACCAGATGGGCCAGAAAGCTTGGGAGCTGCTGCAGCAGAGCCTTCAAGAGCTCCTTCAGCGCTACAAATGTCCAGGGCCTATTTATAGTTTCAGCTTCTTGGGGCAACAATGTCTCCGCCAGTTATGACCTTTGCTACAGAACAGGATGTCTCTCCATTTGTCCTGACTCTAACTTCTTTTAGAGTCCCAGGGGGCACCCCAGCCTCTGACCCAGACTTGCTACCAGACATATGTCCACGGGGTGTCACCGTGGAAAGCAAGCTGGCATATGTGTATGCCCGTCACACAAGGCCAGCCCCTCCCAGGAATAATCTGCTCACACTGTGGCTGTCTAAGCTGACAGTAGAGGCTTGGAGGGCAGCAACTACATTCAAGAGAGCTGGCAAGTGCCCCATGGCCCACCATGGCCACCCTGCCCGATGGGTGGCTCTGCTGTCCAGGAGCTTATGATGTTCCAGGAAGACGAGAGCCGCAGCAGGGAGCACTCTTCCCCAGGCTGATGGGAAGAAGCCCTGACCTCTTCAGGGCCATCTCCTCTCTGCAGATACTAACACTATTCATCCTCAGGACAAGGAAAGAGGCTGACAGGCATGACAACCATGAGAAACACTGCCTGTGTGTCATGCTGGGGACCTAAGGGCAGGTGGGGCGGCTCACCGACATGGCCAGGTGCAGGGGGGTGTTGCCGTGCTCGCCGCGTGCACCCGCGTTGGCCCCGTAGGTCAGCAGCGCCATGGCACAGTCGAAGCGGCTGCGCATCACTGCCACGTGCAGGGCCGTGTTCCCCGAGGCGCTGGTGCAATCCACATCAGAGCCCCGCTTCAGCAGCATGCGGGCCATCTGAGGAGCACAGGCCAGGCTCAGTCAAGCCCGGCCCTCAGGAAGTAGTAGTGTGGCCTGTGGCACCTGGGCATGGCCGCCTCCTGAGTGGCCTTCAGTACCAGCCTCTGGAAAGCCCCAGCAATGGGAGTCTGGAGGCACATGCCAGATCTGGGGGTGCCCAGGACCCTGGTTCCTTCATCAGCACCCCAGGAACTGGGGAACAAAAAGCCAAAGACGTGCTGAGTGGTTCCACAGGCTTCTGGTCCACTCTTGGAGCAAACAGCACCCATCCCTTCTTGCAAAGGCAGCCTGGGCCCTGACCCAGAAGTGCCCCACGGCCCACAACCTTTCCTCAGTGGTTGGCACCTCCCCCTCCTGGGCTCCAGGGTCCTGAGGGTACTCAGTGCACCTGAGCTGGGCTTCCTGCTGGTAATCACCAGAGGCCCACATTCTCCTAGGGGGACAGAGCTCAGCTCAGGGACACAGCTCAGCGGGGAGGCCCAGCCAGACAGCTGTGTGGGTGCCGCCAGGCCCACCGTGGCCATGGCCATCATCGCGCCCCTTCTGTCTGAGGCACATTAGCATTCATGCTCGATTTTCTCTTTCAATACCTTGCTGACTCCACAGCACCTCCGAAGACAGGCTGTAGGAGCCTGGTTCACGGGCGAAGGGACTGAGGCACAAAGGGACGGAGGCAGGATGCCACCCTGGCAGCTCCCAAGTGCCAGCATCAGAATCTTCCAGTATCTCTGCCCACAAGTGCTCAGGACACAGAGCGCTGGGCCCACCCTGCCCTACTCCTCCTCGACTCCGCCTACCTCTGCATTCTTGGCCCAGTGCAGGGGGCTGGCTCCATAGCGAGGGTCTTTGCTGTGGATCTGGTTGCTGTCCATGCCCACGATCATCTCAGCACACCTTGGGGGAGAGGGGAGTCGTAGGCAGTGAGAAGAGTCCAGGACTTGGGACTTCACCTACTGAGCATGGGGAGCTTCACGCGTAAATAAAGGCACAACAAAACCAACCAGCTGGCCAGCATTCTGAGAGGCTGAGGCAGGAAGATCGAAAGCTAGAGTCCAGCCTCGGCAAGTCACTGACTTTGTGAGATCAAAAATCAGACAATTAAATAAATAAATAAATAAAAAGGGTGAGGACCCAGTGCAACAGTCCTGGGTTCAATCCCTAGGACTGCAAAACAAAGGCCAAAGCAAAGAAACAAAACTACATTAATTTAAAAGGCTGCTGCACCTCAAAGGGAACAATAAAAAAGAGGCAACATAACCACTGGAGAAAATCTGCAAATCATATCAGAGAAAGGGCTAACACACTCATGTGAGTCGGTGAAATGGACCATGTGATTAACGATGGGCAAAGACAGTGGGGGTGCGGCCGGGGCCCGGGCCGGGCCGGCCGGGCAGAGCAGGCCTTACCCCTTCTGGGAGAACTTCATGGCCATGTGGATGGGGTAGCCGCAGGGCGCCGCCATGTTGCAGCGCGCGTTGCACAGCAGCAGCACGCGTACCATCTCCTCCTTCCCCAGCTGGCAGGCCAGGTGCAGCGGCGTCAGCCCCTGGTGGTTCGCCTGGTTCAGCCCGGAGGATGCGTTCTTGCCTAAGAGCTGACAGTGGGACGTGGGTGGGCGGGAGCCCCACAGAGAGCCCTGTGTGCCCCTCCCCGACCCACTGGGCCACATCTCTTTGGGGACCAAAGGAGAAGGAAAGCTCCGTGCCAGGGTGACGTTGGTGAGAACTCAGAGTGACAGGGAGAGGAGGCTCTGGAGGAAAGGAAGAACTGAGGGCGTCACTCTGGACAGGAACTGGGGTGCTGTGCCAGCAGTACTGTGGCAACTAGGAAAACTTCCTAGTCAAGAAATTTAAACCAGCCAGGCCAGGTAGCCCACGCCTGTAATCCAAGTACTCGAGAGGCTGCCTCCACGGTGAATGCAAGGCCAGCCTGAACTACATGGCAGGACCCTCAACAAAATAAAAACAAAAGCACACAACTTGTCCCTTGGTATCTGCAGACAGGCGCCAGGACACCTCCCACCCCGCAGATACCCAAATCCATGGACACTCAGGTCCCTCGTATGACCCTCGTGTCTCATCATCTTCCTTCCTTTTCTTTCTTCCTCCCTCTGTCTTTCTTGGTGAGACAGTGACTCGGGGAGTTTCCCTGGCTGGCCAAGAACTCAAGATCCTCCTGCTTCACCCTCCCAAGGGGCTGGGACAGCAGTTACAGCCACCATGCCCACTGCTTCGTACTTCACTTTGCCACTAGAGTCCTGAGGACAGCGCAGATGCTCCGTGCGTCGTGTTACACTGTGCTGCTCAGCACTAAGGACAGGGCATGATACGTCCATGCATGTGTGGCACGGCGTGCTCTGTTTTTCAAGTATTTTCTGTCCTGTGCTGGTTGACCCTGCAGGTGTGGAACCCACCTACACCAGGACTACGAAGGGAGCTGAGGTTAGCTGCAACCCCTGGGTAGCTGTGCAGCAGGGCCTCCACCTGCAGGCAGGCCAGCGACATAACAGGAGGGGAAGGGGCTGTCACCTAACCTGAAAGCCAGGGCCAGCCTCATCCACAGCTTTGCGGCCCCTCCGTGGGCATATTTCTGACCCTGGCTGAACCTCAGTTTCCCTGGTGAGGAGTGGAGGGGAAACCCAAGAGCCATTCTGGGTTAACTGTCACAGGCCACTCCTCACACTCCATGCAGGGCCAAGCACACAGCACCCAGGACAGCTGGGAACCAGGGAGCCCAACTGCAGCTTGGGGACAGTCTAGGGCCCAGCCTGCCCCGGTGGCCGGGGTAAACCCTTTCCTGGAGGCACCAAGTATAAACAGGGATCCTCAGTTCCCAGAATAACCCTGACATCCGGGCAGGGAAGAGGACATAAGTTTCCAAAGAACCTACTCATTCTAGACAATATAGCCTCACCTAATATTCTGCATTTTCTTTCAATCTAATAGTAGCTTTTTAATAACAATACTCCATTTATCTGCTCACAATTTTAAAAAAGATCTGCCTAGTAAGCAAATGAACAGGAGGAGGAAGACCCCCAGGACAAATGCCTACAAAGGCCTGGGATTAGTTTGGTTGGGTTTGGTTTGAGACACATACCAGGCAGGAAAAGCTGGGGAGAGCTATGCACCCTCCAAGGAAGAGCCTAGGCCTCATGGGACAGAGGGAGGCCCAAAGTGACATCTGAGGCCAGGGATGGAAGGAAAACGCCATGCACGAGGAGGTGTGGTCAGTTCCAGTCACCCTGCCCCACAAAGCTCACCTGCAGCACCTGGGAACTGTCACCCTGCACTGCGTAGTGGAAGGCAGTCTCTCCCTTGCTGTCGGTGACATCCATCTGGGCGTGGCAGTGCTGCACCAGCTCCACCAGGATCTCCCCATCGCCCTTGCGGCAGGCCAGGTGCAGGGGCGTGCAGCCCTCCTCATCCTCTTTGCTGTTGGCACAGCTGCGGGGGCAAGAAGGTGCTCAAGCTGGGGACCGGTGACAGATGCCGAGGACCCAAGGCAGAAAAAAGGCTGGGAACTGCCACATTCTCCGAAGTGCTCAGACTGCACTCCAAGTCCTGGCTGGTTCAAAGTCAGGGCTGTCTCAACCTACTCGTATCTGACATGATTTGCTTCGGGTTTACTTTACTTTGCCCATCTGTAGGCAATGTGGACTCAATATGTAGCCCAGGCCGGGCTCAGACTCAACGTGATCCTCCTGCCTCAGTCTCCCGAGTGCTGGGATTGCAGGAGGGCACCACGTGCCCAGCTCCAATTCTTCTGACTTCAGTCAACAGTCTCGTGTTCTAACTCAGGGGCTGAATGGCTCTTTTTTCATGCCAACCATGGACCTGGGCATGGTGCTATGTGCTTGTAATCCCAGCAATCTAGGAGGTATAAGCAAGAGGAGTACAGGGCTGAGTCCAAGCTGGGCAATTCC